CTATAAGAATAATTGAGAATGGCTAAGAAAAGTTTTGAAAGGAACTTCTAGTCCCAAATAGGGAAATATTTATTTCAAGCTACAATAAATAGTTCAATGAGAAATGGGGTGAGAATCAATTAACCTCAAGGGTACAGGACAAATACCTATACAAGGGTCTGTTACTAGACTAATACTTTAGAGAATAGTTTTGTAAATGTTCCAAAAGTGGCATTTTAAACCAGTAAGTAAAGGATAAACTAGGTAATAACTAATAGGTTATCTATTTAGAAAAATAAACAAACTTAGACCTTTATATCACATTATAAATTCCAAATGCAGCATAATATTATAAATCTCACTGGTAAAGCTGGAGAAAAATATATATTTCATGGAGTAACTAGAGGCCTGGTGCACAACATTCGTGCACTGGGGTGGAGGGGAGGGGTAGTCCCTCAGCCTGGCCTGCACCCTCTCGCAGTCCAGGACCCCTTGGGGGATGTCCACCTTAAGCCAGCAGGCGGACATCCCCCGAGGGGTCCTTAGCGCTGCATCAGAGTCGCCAGCTGTGAGCCCAGCTTCTGGCTGAGCAGCGCTCCCCCTGTGGAAGCGCACTGACCACTAGGAGGCAGCTCCTACGTTGGGTGTCTGCCCCCTGGTGGTCAGTGCATGTCATAGCGACCAGTCATTTTGCCATTTGGTCAATTTGCATATTAGCCTTTTATTATATAGGATAATTCAAGAGTAGGCCTTCCTTCCCCCAGCTGCTGGCACTGGTTTCCCTCTGGCACCCAGGACCCGGGCTTCCCTCACAGCCCCGGGTTTGTCCAGATGGTCGTCCAGAAGGACATCCAGTCTAATTAGCATATTACGCTTTTATTATTATAGACTAGAGACCCGATGCATGAAATTCGTGCAAGAGTAGGTCTTCCATGCCATAGCTCAGTGCTCGCGAGCCATATGTGGCTCTTTGGCCCCTTGAGTGTGGCTCTTCCAAAAAATACCACGTGCGGGCGCGCATGTACAGTGCAAAGTTGACTTAAAACTTTAAGTAAAGTTTATTAAGTTAATTTTAGGGAACGTTGTGGAGTGAAAGAAGATGTAGTGTCGAGGATTGAGAAAGGTATGTTGAGATGGCTTGGACATATAGAGAGGATGAACGAAAGGAGGTAGACGAAACAAGTATACAAGACGAGTGTGGATGGGAGAGTTGGAAGGGGTCGACCTCAGCGAACGTACCTCAATCAGATTGAGGACGTTTTTAGCAAAGGCCAGCTTAGGAGTACCCTAATTAAGTTAATAACAATGTACCTACCTATATAGTTTAAGTTTAAAAAATTTGGCTCTCAAAAGAAATTTCAATGGTTGTACTGTTGATATTTGGCTCTGTTGACTAATGAGTTTGCTGACCACTGCCCTAGCTGGTTTGGCTCGGTGGATAGAGCGTCAGCCTGCGGACTGAAAGGTCCCAGGTTCAATTCTAGTCTAGGGCACTTGCCTGGGTTGTGGGCTCGATCCCCAGTGGGGGGCATGCAGGAGGCAGCCAATCAATGATTCTCTCTCATCATTGATGTTTCTATTTCTCTCTCCCTCTTCTTTCCTATCTGAAATCAATAAAAATATGTTTATTAAAAAAAAAAAAAGTAGGTCTTCCTTCCCTTGGCTGCTGGCACCGGCTTCCCTCTGGCACCCGGGACCAGGCTTCCCTCGCAGCCCCAGCTTTGTCTGGAAGGTTGTCTGAAAGGACGTCCGGTCTAACTAGCATATTACACTTTTATTATTATAGATAATTCAAAATATCATCAAATGACAAATTATTAAGTTTCAAAAAAAATCCAAGGTTAAAATTTAAAAACCATTAAATGAAATTTATAAAACTGATTTGGGGTGGATAGGCATTCTATTTTATTCATAAAATAAAAACCATTTAAAAAGACAAAAAGTTGACAGTAGACCTTTAAAATAAATTTCTAGACAGAAAAGTAAGAAACCATGACATATATATCTCACACTATAAATATAGTTATACAAGAAAATAGTTCAAAGGCCAGCAACCAACAGGGAACACGTTTGCCATGTACAGCAGCTAGAAGGTTGATAGACTTCATATATGGTGTGTCTTACAATCCCCAAGATATAACAACCTGATAGGAAAAAGTGCAAAGGACAGAACAAAACTGATGGAGAAATAAAAAAGATCAAATATCCAATCATATTAGCAATGACAGAAATGCTAGTTTAACATTAAATTCTATGCTTCACTAATCAGATGAAAAAATGACAGTGCCCAATCCTGAGAGACAATGAAATGCACCGCATGTAGATGGGTACAGTCTTCTGAGAAGGCACCGTGGTAAATGTATCAAAAGCCTTACTCAGACCCTCTGACTTGTAACCCTGATTCCACTTCTAAAGTCTGTATCTGGCAGCCAGGACCCGGGCTTCCTTCCAGGAAGTAAATAAATAATCAACATTTCACACAAAGACAAGTGAAAACTGTGTCCTTACTGTGAAACTGGACAACAACCGTAAAATACAATACTGTGCAGCCAGCACAAAAACCTAAGTTCTCAAAGCATGTCTAACGACATGAGATATCCCACAAACAGTCCCGCAGGGTGACTCACCCCACGCATCAAAGGCTGAGGGTTGGATTCCCGGTCAGGGTACGTACCCAGGTTGAGGGTTCGATGCCTGGTCTGGGCACATATGGGAGACAACAGATGATGTCTCTCTCTCTCAAATCAATAAAAACATATCCTCGGTAAGGATTTTTAAAAAAGGAAACGAAGTTCACAAATGGAGTAAAATAAGAAAACAGGGACCCATGTCTGTAGCAGGATCATAACTGTCAAAGACGCATGTCCAAATATGCAGAGACAGGTCAGCAGTGGTTCTCAAGTACAATTGGAGATTTTGATTTTATTTTTCCTCCCATTTTCCTCCTTCTACTTTTCTAAATCGTCCAAAACTTAATGAACAGGTATTTTTAATCAGGAAAATGTCGCTTAAAAAATCCAAAGTAAACGCACTAATTTCAAATTAACACAGGATGCTAAGACCATGCAGCAGCTCTTCTTCCCTCTCCTTTACTTTATCCAAGTTGAGCAAAGGGTAAACTCTTAAAAATCCTGGTATGTTGACTGTCCAAAGTTGACTGATTAAAGGCGGAAGGGGGTGGAGAGAAGGTGGGGGAAGCAGGAGGCGGGCGTGCTGTGCAGGGCCTCAGCCCACTCACTCCTCAGCACCACAGGAAGGGCCAAGAATGAGAACCGCCTCGGAGCGCGTGCTCTGTAAACTCCCTCCCAGGTCTTCTTGCTACATCCAGGCCAGACAGTGAAGCAGCTGCTCAGAGGTACACAAGCTGTGGCCTTCTGTGGGAGAAAGGACAAAGGCGAAGCCCTTCCCAAACAAGCGCAGATGCAGAGGAGCTGCCCCGAGGCCTCCGCACCGGCCGTCAGTGGCCACCGCCTGGGCAGACGGAGCACAAACCTGAGGGCCTGAGCCAGGCGCCCTTGCTGACTGAGCGTGGCTTCACGGAGGCCACAGGGCTACCCACAGGGATAAGCATGTCCTTCCACGGGACACCTGCTAATCCTGCCTGGTCCCGGCCCGGACGCTGGCCAGTGCAGCTGTCAGGGAGCTGGCTCATCAGGTTGGACTTCCACCCCGGCTGGCTTCCCAAGGAGGAGTCCAAGTTCCACAGAAAGGAGCAGGCTGCTGAGGCGCACGGCTAGCACACCAGCTCCCCGCAACCGCCACCCCAGAAACCGCTGTGTCCCCTGCCCCTACAGCTCTCTGCAACCGGCCACCCCAGAAACCGCTGTGTCCCCTGCCCCTACAGCTCCCCCGCAACCGCCACCCCAGAAACCGCTGTGTCCCCTGCCCCTACAGCTCCCCAGCAAACCAGTGCCACCCCCAGAAACCGCTGTGTCCCCTGCCCCTACAGCTCCCTGCAACCACCACCCCAGAAACCGCTGTGTCCCCTGCCCCTACAGATCCCCTGCAACCGCCACCCCAGAAACCGCTGTGTCCCCTGCCCCTACAGATCCCCCGCAACCGCCACCCCAGAAACCGCTGTGTCCCTGCCCCTACAGCTCCCCTGCAACCAACCACCCCAGAAACCGCTGTGTTCCCTGCCCCTACAGCTCCCTGCAACCACCACCCCAGAAACCGCTGTGTCCCCTGCCCCTCTGCTCTACCCATGTAAAACTGAGGGGCAATTAACCTACTTAGGTGACCCAGGAAGGATGCAGTAAACACATACATACAATCACAGAGAAACCACAAAAATGCCACCGTCAGAACACTGATCCATGCATCCTGATAAAGGGAGCCAGACATCACAGAGAAGCCACTGTCATCTCAGGCGCTCACACATTTTCATTCCTTTAAACGTCACAAAATTAAACTTCCCGTTCACACATGAAAACACGGAGGCTCGGAGAAAAAGAAAAGGCAGCTCAAAGTCACAGAGTAGGAAATGCGGACCTTGGAATTGGAACTCCAGGGCCCATGCCATTTCTCTCAGGACACAGGAGACGTCCTGATCCTGTCGCTACAGGGGTCTCCTGTCTGGCCCTGTGGGATCAGCCTCACGCTGCGTTAGGACAGGGCCAGTCTTTCCACCGCTGCCGGCTGCAGCTCCGGGCCCACGACAGAGACAGTCTACCCAACAGCTTAATCTCGGTCCAGGAAAGGACATTAGCCGAGGTCACAGTAACCAGTAATTATAACAATGGCTGCAATCACTAAGCATCTGCCCTAGGAATGTTACCCATATCTGGCCTGAGTAACAACAGAGTTGATGTGTCCATTTTTCAGATGAAAACACAGAGGCTCCACAAAGTCTCACAGCAGGAAATGGAATCAATCAGATACCACAGCCTCCTTCCTAACCTCCACCTCTCCTGCTGTGACAAGATAATGAAACCCAAATCGGTGGTTTCGGTCAACGCCCCCTCCTCTGGGCAGTCTGCCCAGCACCTGAACCCTCCCTGGCCCAGGGCTCCAGCCACTACCTTGGTTGAGGTAGGTCAGTGTCTCTTCATGCAGCTTCACAGCTGGGGACGTGGCAGCACACAGCACGTACTGCAGGGGTGGCAGGCGGGCCTCGTTCTCGGGGGACAGCTGGGGCTCCTCCTGCTTGAAGATGGGCAGCGCGAGCACATCACTGCAACACACAGAGGGAGAGGTCAGGAGCAATGACAGCCACGCTGGGAGAAGTGGATGCAGACCGCGTCCTCAAGGGCAGCCCAGCAAAGCACAGGGCCGAGAGCTGGGTCAGCTTCTGCACCTCACAGCGCAAATACTTTCTGAAAGAGCAAACCAACCTGCGATGACTCTACTTTCCCTCAATGACCCGCAAGAGATTTATTCAATCAAATCATTAATAAGGAAAAAAATGCAAAGTCATCTAATACTGCAAATTACAGAAATCTCTGTGACAATGGGACTCCCAGCAATGGAGTGAACCTTAGATGCCATTTGGTTTCCACCCATAAGAAAGACATTACAAAGTCTTGCTTTTAGAATATAACTCTAGATAAATATTTTAATTGCTTAAATAAACTATTCTTTTTTTGGCCACTTCTCAGAATAATACAACGCTGTCCTTGGGGCTCTGAAAATACAGAAACTGCTGAGACATCCCCCCACCCTTTAAAAATAAAAAGGACAGTTGGCCCATAACCCCTACGTTAAGGGTCATGCTAGTACCTCCTAAATGCGAAGCAAGAAGGAAGGACCTTGATTTCAATTCGGTTTTCTTATCCAAACGGGAAATGGGAAGATGCTCAAGGATTCTTTTCCTCCACTTCTGAGCCAAAATCCTCGCCATACCCCAAAAAATCAGCCCCACATCAGCCTATGCCTGGAGAACCTGTTTCTAGATGTATTTTTAAATGCCCTTGCAAATTGGAAAGAAATCCTTGAGAACATGAGTGACCTGTGGGCAGACCTGTTTAAGGCCTCCACATTATGAGCAGCACAGGAACAGGTGCCAGAAAAGTGCCAGTGCCCTTATCTTGATAACCCCCCCCCCCCCCTCCGTGTGCAGGGCTCTGAATCAGATCCCCTGGGCCTGCTGCGCTGTATAAACAGCAGTCACTGGTACACTCTGTTCCTCATACAGCACAATAAACGCATGTCTCTAAAACACAACCCAGCACACACCCAACAATGTCTAACAATTCTCAGAAGGAAAGTCAGGCTTGGAGCACCTGGAGTGCGGCCCGCGGTCCACACCCTCCTCTCCAGGCGGGCGGCCCAAGTGGTGTCTAGGAACAGAGGAAGAGCAGCAGGCCTGCTCACCTGGGGATCGCATAATTTCATGTTCGCCCAAACCATGGAAGTTAATAATCCATGGGCCGCTGCCTTTAAACACAACAAGGGGGCGGGGGTGCAGGGGTAAGAACCATCTCTCAACAGTAACTCGTTTCAAGCCTGGCATCCTTATTTGCCAAGGAATAAAGTCACGGGAACACCAAACAGAAAAGGCAAAGAAGGAGACAAGGCCACTGCCTGGTAAAGTCAAACCACTTGTCGTCTGCAGTGAGGAGACGGCCAAACATCAAACAGGAAAGCCCAGGAAAAAGACAAGACCCTCACTCCAGAGTTGGGGGGACGAGGGAATATTCACGACCCCTCACCTTGGCCTTCACTGAGGTCAACTTCTACAAGGTGAAAACCCCAACTTCCAAAAGGGAAATTTTTAAAAAAGGGCAGGGCCCCAGCCGATTTGGTTCATCTGACTGAAGGGTCCCAAGTTCCATTCCGATCAAGGGCACATACCTTGTTTGCAGGCTCGATCCCTGGCCCAGGTCGGGGCATGTGTGGGAGGCAACCTATCGGTGTATTTCTCTCACATCGATGTTTCTCATTCTCTTCCCCTCCCTTCCACTCTCTTAAAAAACCAATGGAAAAATATCCTCGGGTGAGGATTAACAAAAAAAATTAAAAATGGCATGGATATGGCTGGTGTGCTCAGTGGTCAGAGCGTCAGCCTGTGCACTGAAGGGTCATGGGTTCAATTCCCCGTCAAGGACACTACCTAGGTTGCAGGTTCAATCCCTGACCACTGTAGGGGCGCATGCAGGAGGCAACCAATAAGTGTCCCACATCCATGTTTCTCTCTCTCCCTCCCTCTCTTCCTTCCATTCTCTCTAAAAATCAATAGGAAAAAAAAATACTCAGGATTAACAAAAAAAATTTTTTAAAGGGGTCATGGGCCAAATGCTTCTTTATCCATGGACCCAAAATGACCCCAGAAATCAATACGGCTTTATAGCTCCTTTCACCCAATTCCCCCCCTCCCACCCCTGCCACAATACCAAAATCCTAAAAGGTACCTCAGGTACCCCAAAGACAAATTTCCATCTCAGTAGCAGAGGCACCTCCCATGCACAGGGAATTATTCCGTAATGGGATGACATTTTAGGTATCCGGGAAGATTTAAATACACTCACCCTCCATTCAAGGTCACCTTCAAAATCATCTTTAAGGTATGGCACATGCTTAACAGCCACAAACTAAAACTCGGGCAAAACTATGCCTAAAGCTGCATCATGCAGTAATAAAAAAAAATGCTGTAACATTTTGTAAGTGAATGGGCGCTTACTCTTCGCCAGGGATGAACATCCGCCTGGGGCTGCACAAGTCCCCCAGAGCGGCTTCTCTGGTGACACCACAAGGTTGCCGACACAGCCGTCAGTCCTTCATTAAGACCCCAGACTCATGCCATCTCCTATTACTCTGGCCATGAGTAAAACCAGCAGACATCAACTCAGCCATTCCTTCGCCTTCTAGAAGGGGTGTCTACAAGGAGGGCTATTGGACCAATGTCTGTCAGAAACAGATTCACAAATAAATCTGCATGGAAACTTCGAGGGGGAAAAAAGAAAGAAAAAGACCCTCTCGGTGGCTCTCACTGTGGGGCCTCACTGCTCACGTTCTCTGCTCCCGCACCAAGTCCCGCTTGGGTTTAAACCCGGTACTTTCATAAACTGTGACCAGGATGGAAACAAGGCTGGCTAAAGCTGGTTCGGGCAAGTTCGGAAAATGAAATGACTGCACAACAGTGGCCAACAGTCCTCCCGGGAGGGACGCCAACGGGGTCCCACTGCCTGGGGACAGAGGAGAACTCCGCACACAGGCAGGACTGACTTCCCTCTGCAGAGCACAAGTCAAAGAAGGAAGATTCCCTCAAGGCCAGAGACCCGCGGGCCTCGGGCGAACGCGCGCAAGGCCACCTGCAGCGAGGGGGCCGCCGGCCCGCCCGAGCCCCCGCCGGCGCCCGCGAGCCTCAGGTGCAGGGCAGCGCGCGCCACTCACTCACTCGCCCCTCGGCCGGACCAAGGACGCTGAAGAGGGGGCGAGGGGGCCGGGGGGCCGGAGGGCCGAGGGGCCGGGAGGACGCGGGGTCGTGGGGAGAGGGGGCCCAGGAGGCTGGAGAGGGGACCCAAGGTTGGCGAGGGAGCTGGGAGGACAGGGGCGAAGAGCAGACTAGACTCCCCGGGGCGGGCAGCCCCCCGACGCCAGGGGAAGGAGCCGGGGGCAGGCGCACGGAGGTGGCTGTAGCCGGCAGGTATGCGCCCCACGCCCGAGGTCGTTAGGGGCGGGCCCTCCCGGGCACCAGGCACCAAGCTCTACCGGCCGGGCCCCCGACACCGCGCGCCCGTCCCGCCGGCGTCCGTGCGTCCCGACGCAGGCTGGGCGCTGCTGTCTCAAATTCGCCAAGGGCGGAGAGCGGGAATCGGAGCGCGGCGGGGGGACCCGTGCCCGGAGCTCTCCGCCCGCCCCCCGCCCACGCGCCCCGGCGCCCGCGGGCCTCACCGCAGGTAGCGCCGGAGCCGTGCTGGTTGTAGTGCTCGGGCTGCGTGTGCCAGAACCAGCATGGCTGCAGCCCGGCCGCCGCCGCGCCTCCCGCTCGGTCA